GCAGTGATTCCTGCAACTGCAGTTCTTCACAATATTGCAGTAAATATGAACGAAGAAATGCCCCCTGAAGAAAATGAGCTTAATATGCAGGAACTTAATTATTTAATAGAAATGGGAAACATTGCAGAAGTACCCCACAATGTTATCAATGACAATAGAGTATTTCGTAATGAAATAGTCAATTACTTTAATAATTTACTTTAATAATTTGTGAATGGGAAGTTTATATATATATATATATATATATATATATATATATATATATATATATATATATATATATACTGTAGTTTAACGCCACGGAATCTGTCATGTAATGATAGTTACCGCGCCATTTGTGTGTTTAGCGCGACGTCGCGCTAAACTTTTGATATTTATAGAGTTTTATCGCTACATTTCCACGTTGCCAGATGAATATTTTTTCTTGAATACAGGGAATATTTATTTGTATTGTTCTCAGATATGATTGCCAACACTTCCATATGTAAACATATTAAAATGATGTTTTTCATTGAACTATGAGGATTTTTAAACCAGATGTTACAAAGATAACAGAACAGGCGATAATTAAGTAGAATTGCTTACAGTTTACAGTTCATTGAGAACTCCAAATACCTTTTTAATTAATGCAGTAAAGTTAACTGAAAAAGTGATAAGTATATATTCAGTGACATAATTAACGAATAAACTTATTTTTGCGTTAATATTCTTTTTCATGAAAAATTCCGAAACAGGTCAATTTTTGTTGTTAATTTAAAAATTTTTAACGTGACTATTTCAACCCTGGCTAGCAGGGTAGCAACCCCCTCATTTCTCTCAATAGGGAGGGGTGGCTTGTGATACATTGATTAAAAGGAAAATCTACAAAGAAACTGAAATTGCTTTATTTGCAATTTTCTTTCGTTAACATTTTTTAATTCAAGGCCTAAAAAATAAATTAAATTATTTAAGTACCACACCATCAAATCAGGAATTAAAGTTCCTTTCAATCGAAGTATCACAAGCTACCCTTCCCTATTAAAAAAATTGAGGGGTTGCTGTATATGCTTAAAAGCGTTTACCGCGACTCGCGCGCTAAGCACACAAATGGCGCGGTAAATATCATTACACGACATATTCCATGGCGTTAAACTACAGTAGGCATATACACGGTGTTCCATCTCAGACGAGCCACCCCGTATATTTCTTATCTGATAGCAATTGGAAAAATTTCCCGAAACACGTCGGATGATTTTCTTTGGGGGACATCTTTTGACGTATATTTAAGGCTTGAACGAGCAACCCCCTCTGAGGGGGCGCTTCAACCCCTCAAAATTGAATAGGGAAGAGGGGTTGAGTGATACTTCATTTGTAAGGTCTTGAAAGCCTCTTTACAACGGTGTATCAAAAAAAAATCACATTAAAAAAAATTAATTGTTTTATCATGTAATGAATGATCGAAGAAACGTGATAAACACCTTCTAAGAACAAAAAATGAAGGCAGGATAAGAAAATGTTTTGATTTTTATTTATTTATTAGTTCGAGAAAATTTATTATTGTATGGAAGTCAATGGAGGACAATTTGAACATTTGATTTAAAAACAGTTTTGATTTTTTTGATTGTAAGCATGATAAAACAATTAATTTTTTTTAAGAATTTGATTTTTTTCATACACTTTTGTAAAGAGGCTTCCAAGACCTTACAAACGAAGTATCACTCAACCCCTCTTCCCTATTCAATTTTGAGGGTTGAAGCGCCCCCTCATAGGGGGTTGCTCGTTCAAGCCTCAAATATACGTCAAAATCATCAGACGTGTTTCGGGAAATTTTTCCAATTACTATGGGTTAAGAAATATACGGGGTGGCTCGTCTGAGATGAAACACCGTATATATTTACTCAACCACAATAAGTTGACCAAATGTTGATCGTGGCATTATAGATGAAAAAGTACGGTTGGTTTACGCGTGTTCACATTGGCTTATGTTTTTGCATTCATTCGAGTTTGTTTACCTTCATTTGTAATCGTTAGCTTTTATTGTGTTCGATTACGTTCATTCGTTTTTCGTTTGTATTCGTTCATGTTTGCTTACGTTTGTCCGTATTCGTTCACGTCAATTCGTGTTAAGTACGTTTTTTCACATCACCAAAACTTCGGCACAATAACGCTGTCCTGTTCACGAACGTAAATGAACTCGAACAGATGCAAATGATACAAACAAATGTAAATGAATACGAACTAACGTAAACAAATATGAACGAATGCAAACACCAACAAACGTGATAAAACTAGGGCTGGGCGATTATTAAAATAAATTATCGATTGTCGATTAGTTAAAATAATCGATTATTTTCGATTAATCGATTATTTTCGATTATTATAGATTAATCGATTATTTTCGACTAATCGATTATTATTGATTATTTTCGATTAATTTAGATTAATCGATTATTTTCAATTCATCGATTATTTTAGATTAATCGAATATTTTAGATTAATCGAATATTTTCAATTAATTAATTATTTTCGATTATTATCGATTTATCGATTATTTTCGATTAATCGATTATTTTAGATTATTATCGATTGATCGATTATTTTTGATTAATCGGTTATTTTCGATTAATCGATTATTTTCGGTCAATCGAGTATTTGCAATTAATCGATTATTTTCGATTAATCAATTATTTTTAATTCATCTATTAATTTCGATTAATTAATTATTTTCGATTAATCGAATATTTTTGATTTAGTTATTTTTGATTAATCAATTATTTTTTATTAATTAATTATTTTTGATTAATTATTTATTTTCGCTTATCGAATGTTTTCGATAATCGATTATTTTCCGTTAATCAATTATTCAGAAAATTGATTAATTTCTATTGTTAAATTGAATATTTCCGAATAATCTATCATTAGAATTTCGATATTATTTAATTGATTTTTAATTTTATATTCGATTGCTAGTAATTTAATAGTAAATATCTAATCCAATTACAAATTAATGAGGCAAAACGATCAATTTATAATATCAAATTATCGAGCATATTTTTTGTTCGAGAAAGTATAGTTTTGATTATACCAGTGTGGGCTAAAAGCTTTATTAGTTTGTTAATAGCTATTTATGGAAACCAGTTGCGAAATGCCTCATTTTGTGTAATTAACCGTTTATTTTCGATTATTATCGATTATTTTCGATTAATCGATTATTTCAGATTAATCGATTATTTTCAATTCATCGATTATTTTCTATTAATCGATTATTTTCAATTCATCGATTATTTTCGATTAATCGATTATTTTAGATTAATCGATTATTTAAGATTTTATTGATTAATCGATTATTTTTGATTAATCGATTATTTTCGAATAATCGATTATTTTCAATCAATCGATTATTTGCAATTAATCGATTATTTTCGATTAATCAATTATTTTCGATTAATCAATTATTTTCGATTAATCGAATATTTTTGATCAATTAGTTATTTTTGATTAATCAATTATTTTTGATTAATCAATTATTTTTGATTAATTAATTATTTTCGTTAATCGAATGTTTTTGATTAATCGATTTTCCATTAATCAATTATTCAGAAAATCATATTGTTAAATTGATTATTTCCGAATAATCTATCATTAGAATATCGATATTATTTAATTGATTTTTAATTTTATATTCGATTGTTAGTAATTTATTAGTAAATATCTAATCCAATTACAAATTAATAAGGTAAAACGATCAATTTATAATATCAAATTATCGAGCATATTTTTTGTGTATTTGTTAATAGTTATTTATGTAACCAGTTGTGAAATGCCTTATTTTGTGTAACGAGTGAATATTTGCGGGACGAGCGGTGCGAGTGTCCGCAAAATGAACGAGTTACACTAACGGCCTTTCGCAATGTGTTACATACAAGATTTTTTCTAATTTTGACCGTTAATATATTTATGAAAAAATTATATTTGTTAACAACTAATAACCATTAATTTTTAATGTTTACACCTAAACCTAATCTAATTGATTCGGTTACAATGGATTTAAAAAATGTTATTTTACAATCGATTATTTTACAATCGATTATTTTACAATTTATTATTTTACAATCGATTATTTTACAATAGATTATTTTACAATCGATTATTTTACAATCGATTATTTTACAATCGATTATTTTACAATCGATTATTTTACAATCGATTATTTTACAATCGATTATTTTACAATCGATTATTTTACAATCGATTATTTTACAATCGATTATTTTTTAATCGAATAATTTAGAATCGATTATTTTACAATCGATTATTTTAAAATCGATTATTTTGCAATCGATTATTTTGCAATCGATTATTTTACAATCGATTATTTTGCAATCGATTATTTTGCAATCGATTATTTTGCAATAGTTTATTTTGCAATAGATTATTTTACAATCGATTATTTTACAATCGATTAATTTACAATCGATTATTTTACAATTGATTTTTTACAATCGATTATTTAACAATTTATTATTTTACAATCGATTACTATACAAACGATTATTTTACAATCGATTATTTCACAATCGTTTATTTTACAATCGATTATTTAACAATCGATTATTTAACGATCGATTATTTTAGAAAATAATCGAATAATCGATAAAAATAGATTTATCAAAAATTATCGATTAATCGAAAATAATCGATTAATCAAAAATAATCGATTAATCGAAAAAATCGATTAATCGAAAATAATCGTTTTTTGTACAAAAATTAATCGAGCAATCGATTAATCGATTATTTTTGCTACCCTAGATAAAACACGAATGAAGGCAGACGATTGCAACATGAACGAGCATAAACGTGTACAAATGTCAAACAAACACGAACGAACGCCAACGAACACGAGAAAATGCAAGCAAACATGAATTGAAAACGAACATGAGCGATCGCATACAAACATAACATAACGGACGGAAGGGAACACGACGAAAGTAACTGAATGAGACATACGATTGTGAGTAAACATGAACCAACATGAACAAAACGCGAATATTCGGAAACAAACACGAATGGATGCTTACAAAAGTAATAAGAGTACCAAGCGAATGAGAATATAACTGTCATTAAATTCCGTATTTATAACTTCGAAAGTTTTTGGATCACACAGTTGTTATTTTGAATATGCTAATTAAAAATCGGATACTTTTGTTTGTATTGGTCAAATTTTTAAAATACAGTTTTTTTTTGTAAACAATATGAATGATTAAGTAAAATAGTGTATCAAATCTTTCACGGCTTTTTTTATGAATAATTAAACAGTAGGTATTCGGAAGCTGAACGTGAACGTAGAGCACCACCGATTTCCTTGTGGAATCATTGGGACTGTTATCTAGTCTATTCTATAATCAAAATGAAAAACTGAAAGCAAAATTAAAAATTGGAGACAAGAATCCTTTGGTGGAAAACCACCTTAAGCGTTTCTTAGTAGAACTGTAGAAAACACGTGCGCGTATATCAACCACCAAGACTAGTGGTATTTACCGCGACAAATATTGGCGGGAACTTTTATGCAGTATGCCATTTACCTCCGATGGATAGACAGAATTTGTACTATTTTATTATAGGTAGTGAAATAAGCTATTTCTACAAAAGGTATTACCATTGTATTTAGATAATCTAGTAAAACAATCTTATGTAGATTTTATTGGACAAGGTCATTAAAAAATGATAGTTACCCAATTTAAATGAGAGTTACCTATATTTGAAACAATATGCTGAAGCTATTGCTCAATAGATGGCGTGATAACTTACAATTATAATTTTAGCTCTCCTTTCTTCAAAACAACCTTTTGCATCTGGGGTTAAAATTCACTCGTAAGTGGGTGAATAGGGGAGAGTATTATTATTACCATTATTATTACCATTATTATTAATTTAATGATAAATACAGAGCCATCTATTTGCAAATAGAGAAAGTACCCGTACAATTTAAGAATCGACAATCGTTCGACGGATCAACCACCAAGACTAGTGGTATTTACCGCGACAAATATTGGCGGGAACTTTTATGCAGTATGCCATTTACATAATTTGGTTAAAAATACAAAAACAAACAAAATATTGTAATGGTCCACTAGAATAAAAAGAGACAATAATAATAACGTATTCACTTTTTATAAATTTCGCTAACAAACTGCTAATTTCGAATTAGTATTGGTCTGCTTATTACAAAAGAAACATGTACTATCTTGTAAAATTTGAAGACGAGATTTATTACATATGTAATAAATCTCGAATTGTAATTAAGGACAAAAGTGTTAGTGTCAAATATACAGGTGGTGTATGGTATCCAGCGACAATTATTGAATGTCACGGTAAGTACCAAGAAATATTTTGTAAGATATATACCGTGTGTCCATCTTATTTAATGATCAAAGCCTATAACTGATAAATTCAAATTTAGAAATTCGACTTTTTACATAAAATGAACATTATTTTAATTTTTTCAAATATTCTCCTAGTAGGACAACCTGTACATGTGGTGCCTATGAATACAAACAAAATGATATGCCTATATTGCCTATCTTCTCTTTTAAGTTACAGTGCTAAGTGATTAAAAGTAATTTTACATTGTATTGTTTGTAATATTAGGCACCAAATGTACAAGTTGTCCCACTAAGAAAACATTTGAAAACATAAAATTTTTATTATTTAGCAAAGTAATTTATAAGCATTTTGTTGCTAATTTTAATCTCTATCTAATATACAGACTGTCCTACTAGGGAACCATTTGAAAAAAATAAGTTTTTGTCAAAAAACTGAAGTTAATAAAGAATAAGTAAGCTGTAAAAGCAATTTTTTGAAGGGAAAACGTCTTGCAGGTAGTCACAGAGCACTTTTGAATAATTCTCAGCAATTATTAATTATAAAGGACCCTGCACACCGCTTATGGAAAAGTGGCGACCTGTTAAATGTTATAAATTTTTGATATGCAGTTCTCGACCTCTGGAGCAATAGTGTCCATGGGACCATTCAAATCCTATGACTGGTTTTTAAGATACAGGGTGTTAAACTTAAGAAATACCACTTATTTGAAAACGGTTATTTCAGGAGAAAGCTAATCGATTATAATTTTGTTTACCAAATCTTATTAAAACATCTTTTGGCATTCTACGAATATAAACAGAAGTCAAAAATTATTTTCCTGTACAGGGTGAGCCACAAATAAGAAAGGACATGTTTTTGATAATTACTTTTATTGTTCTAGAAGGTGAAAATATTTACTAAAAAATAAATTATTGCTATATTTATCATGTCTAATGATAATACAAAAGATATTAGGTGCTATTTATACAGGGTGATTCGTAAATATCGACAGGCCAATATATTTTTTTATGAGTATTAATGTGAAACGCAGTATTTTTACAGGACTTTTGTGTATTTACCAGATGTATAATTATCCAATTCATTGACTACAGGGTGATTTAACAAAAATATTGAAAGTTAATTTACCGAATGTGTCAAAAAAACAATTTTTTTTAAGCACCCTGTACTTTTTGAATAATCCTGTTAAAGTGTATATATTTCATCATTGGCATATCATCCATACTGTAGAAGATATTTTCCAAAATTATAGCTTTAATCTATGGTTGGTTTTTGAGATACAGGGTGTTAAACTTAAAAAATACCACTTATTTGACAACGGTTATTTCAGGAGAAAGCTAATCGATTATAATTTTTGTGCCAAATCTTATTAAAACATCTTTTAGCATTCTACGAATATAAACAGAAGTCAAGTATTATTTTCCTCTACAGGGTGAGCCACAAATAAGTAAGGACATGTTTTTGATAATAACTTTTATTGTTCTAGAAGGTGAAAATATTTACTAAAAAATAAATAATTGCTATATTTTTCATGTCTAATGGTAATACAAAAGATATTAGGTGATATTTATACAGGGTGGTTCGTAAATATCGACATAGGCCAATATATTATTTATGAGTATTAATGTGAAACGCAGTATTTTTACAGGACTTTTGTGTATTTACCAGATGTATAATTATCCAATTCATTGACTACAGGGTGATTTAACAAAAATATTGAAGGTTAATTTACCGAATGTGTCAAAAAAACAATTTTTTTTAAGCTCCCTGTACTTTTTGAATAATCCTGTTAAAGTGTATATATTTCTTTATTGGCATATCATCCATACTGTAGAAGACATTTTCCAAAATTATAGCTTTAATCTATGGTTGGTTTTTGAGATACAGGGGGTTAAAACTTAAAAAATACCACTTATTTGATAACGGTTACTTCAAATATTTTGTCATATCATTAAAAACGATAAAACCACCAATAATTTATTTTTCGGGAAATATTTTCATCCCATAGACGGACCAATAAAAGAAATATCAAAAACATATATCTCTTCTTATTTGCGACTCATTCTATAGATGAACATATTTTTAACCACTGAGTATATTCGTCGAATGCCAAAAGATGTTACAATAAAATAAGCCAAAAAAATAGCTTTTTCCTAAAATAACAAGTAACAAAAAATGGGTATTTCTTAAGTCAAATCCTACTTCGCAAAAACCTCTCACATTAAAAAGCTGTAATTTTTGGAAACTTATTTTTTACAGGATGCTTGCTACACCAGTAAATAAACACCTTTACAGGACTAAGAATACTGGGTGATTTATCAATTTTTTTGACACATTCGATAAATTAACTATTCAGCTATCTATTAAATCACCCTGTAATCAATAAAATGGATAATTATGCACATGTTTATATTATAACAAATAATACACAAAAGTCAACTAAAAATACTGAGTTTCACATTAATACTTATAAAAAAAAATATTGGCCTATGTCGATATTTACGAACCACCCTGTATAAATATTACCTAATATCTTTTGTATTACCATTAGACATGAAAAATATAGCAATTATTTATTTTTTAGTAAATATTTTCACCTTCTAGAACAATAAAAGTAATTATCAAAAACATGTCCTTACTTATTTGTGGCTCACCCTGTAGAGGAAAATAATACTTGACTTCTGTTTATATTCATAGAATGCTAAAAGATGTTTTAATAAGATTTGGCACAAAAAATTATAATCGATTAGCTTTCTTCTGAAATAACCGTTATCAAATAAGTGGTATTTTTTAAGTTTAACACCCTGTATCTCAAAAACCAACCATAGATTAAAGCTATAATTTTGGGAAATATCTTCTACAGTATGGATTATATGCCAATGATGAAATATATACACTTTAACAGGATTATTCAAAAAGTACAGGGTGCTTAAAAAAATGGATTTTTTGACACATTCGGTAAATTAACTTTCAATATTTTTGTTAAATCACCCTGTAGTCAATGAATTGGATAATTATACATCTGGTAAATACACAAAAGTCCTGTAAAAATACTGCGTTTCACATTAATACTCATAAATAATATATTGGCCTATGTCGATATTTACGAACCACCCTGTATAAATATCACCTAATATCTTTTGTATTACCATTAGACATGAAAAATATAGCAATTATTTATTTTTTAGTAAATATTTTCACCTTCTAGAACAATAAAAGTAATTATCAAAAACATGTCCTTACTTATTTGTGGCTCACCCTGTAGAGGAAAATAATACTTGACTTCTGTTTATATTCGTAGAATGCCAAAAGATGTTTTAATAAGATTTGGCAAACAAAATTATAATCGATTAGCTTTCTCCTGAAATAACCGTTTTCAAATAAGTGGTATTTCTTATGTTTAACACCCTGTATCTTAAAAACCAGTCATAGGATTTGAATGGTCCCATTGACACTCTTGCTCCAGAGGTCGAGAACTGCAGCATATCAAAAATTTATAACATTTAACAGGTCGCCATTTTTCCATAAGCGGTGTGCAGGGTCCTTTACATAAAGATAAAAGTGTTGTTTGGCAGTTGGACTGTATGTATTTTGACCCGTAGAATCCAAATACATATAGCGAAAAGTGGGGCCAATTCCTGTTAATCCGGAAGCCGGCCATCTTGATTTTACATGACATAATTCCAAATTTTGTCTAATATTTTCACCTCAAATTTGAAATCAAAATGTTATAAGAGTGTCCGTATTGGCTGGGTCAGACGGTATAGGGTGTATAGGGTTAACATAGCTATATTAGAAAGTCTATTTTGGAGCACATTAAAGAAAGGTAAAAATTTTTTACTATATCTCTTGCCATTTTCAAGTTATATGGAAGAACCAAAAATGTATTAAAAGTTGTTAATACTGAAGATTGCTTCTGGTACGAAAAGTAGTAGAAACCTTAACTTATCTCAATGAATTTGTCTTTAAATGTTTTATCGATATTACTAATAAAAATACACATTCTATTATTGATAGTGGCCTTTAGAAACCTATACGTTGCATGGCAAGAACTGTCAAGCCATCTTATTGAAACTTTCCTTTTCCATTTTTCGACATCTTTCGAAATAAATTTGCGAGGCGCCATCGACAAAATATGGCATTTTTGGTTATACTTGTGTAACTTTATAACGGTAAGAGATAAGGTAGTTTTTTAACTACTATAATGTGCTAAAAAATAGGCACCTTATTTCCTATTCAACATTTTATCAATATTTCTAGACTATTTGAGAAAAAATGTAATACAATAGTATATTACATAACAAGTGTGTAAAGTGATATATTACGCACGAGTGCGGAAACGTAACGAGTGCAAGAAATACACTTTCCAACGAGTTATGTACATTATTTTTCCTACGACCCCAACATTTTGAACATTCTAAAAATTTTAATTTTGTTTATAACATATTAATTATTAGACATGTCCAAATTTAGGGCTTCAAAATATTTTAAAAATAACCATGGAAACATAACGAGTGCAAGAACTACACTTTCTAATGAGTTATGTACATTATTTTTCCTAAGACCCCAACATTTTAAAATTTTTAATTTTGTTTAGAAAATATTAATTATTAGACATAATACTCGTATGTCAAATTTTAGGGTTTTAAAATAATATTTTAAAAATAACCACTTTTTTAATGAACTTTTGATGAAAATACAACTACAAAACAATCTTTATAGTATTTCCTATCTTAAACTAAACAAACTAACTTAAATAAACTAATAATATATTAATAACTTACTTGAACGGCTGTTAATAATATATCCTATTTTTATATAAATATTCACAAAAACCACTTTTTTGAAAATTATGTTTATCAAAATAGATTAATATCGACTGAAATGCAAGATCAAGAAGGGCATACAGAATAGAGAACTTATGCAACCCACTCATCATGACATTTAAGAATTGCTGTCTTATTGGTTGCATACATTGACATATTTTTCTAATTAAGTAATTTTAAGTGAAAATTGTAATATAAAAACATATTTTTAATTCAAAATTTAAAAAGTTTTTCAATAAATCAAATAATACGACGTGTCCTATGAAAATAATTATTTATTTCATGCATTAATATAATATTTAAATTATTGTTCCGTGTGATTTTAAAAAATATCACTCTGTGATATTTCTTCTTCTTTCTCGTTTTTAATCGAACTAATAGGATATTTGCCACTTTCAAAGTGTCAAAACAATGCGTTAACTGTCGTTTTCACAGGGGGTCGTAGGAAAAACCTATTTACTATTACAATTAATTACCTATTCCTAAAAATGTAAATCATGAAATATCAAATATAAAGTAACACATTTTGACGGCTTATTACTCGAGAACGGAAAAAGATATCGACGTGCAGTTTTCGCTAAACTTCTTATATTTTCTTCAAGTTTTTGTTGACATAGTTGCCAAATTTATGGTTTTTCCGGAAAGCGCCGAAAAAAAATGACCTTTTTGGAGCGAAATTATCGGTTTATTTTAAATACAACACCCTATATTTTTTAATACCATCTGAAAGTCCTTTTCTTCCCCTTTAGAAAAATGAATACATTATCAGCATTTACTAAAATTTTTAGTGACATATTTAATGTTTTTATGAAACCATGTCAAGAACTTCCAAAAACGTAAAGTATCACACTTCAACAGCTTGGAAACGTTATAACTCGAAAATGAGACAGGGATTAATGAGCAACTTTCACTGAAATTCTTAGAAATGTTTAAATTTTTTTCTAACACCATTGCCAAGTCTCAAAAGTTGTCTAAAATTTTCCCAAAAAAGTTACTTTTAATTTTTTACGAAAATGTGCTTGGGTAAAAATATATTTGACATTAAGAAAAGTCAAATAAGTTATTTATGGGAAGTAAGAACGAACATAGTCAAATTTATATTAATCTAAACTGTTTGCTTTTATAGGAAAAGCGCGGTGCGTCGCATATACATATATAATATGCTGAGAACAAATTAATAAAAGTGACCAGGAGAAGATTCAGAGCTATTTTTGACAGAAATCTGCCTATGCACGAAAATCTATATTAACTTGGGTACAACAATTTACAGAATCGGGAAAACTAGAAACTAAGAAAACATTTAGAACAGAAACATTTTTATTTAGATATAAGAACAAGGAACCAAACATAACTTCATAAACAAACAAAAAAAAACATTTAATAAATAAGTTGTTGTATGTGACCTCCATCTGCATCGCTACATAATCTTAATCTCAGCCAAAAATTACTGAACGCATTTTGCAGCATTTCTGGTGCAAAGGTATTAAAAACATTTACTATGTTATTTCTTAACTCCTGAAGATTTGAAGGTATTGGGTTATAGCATCTCTCCTTTACATAACCCCATATGAAGAAGTATGGTATGGTTAAGTCCGGGGAATACGAGACCCACTCGATGGGACCAGCTCGACCTATCCATCTATTGCCAAAATGATTTGATAATGAATTTCGAGCAACTAGAGAGTAATGTAGTGGTGCGCCCACTTGTTGAAAATATATATGGTATTTATAATTTCATTGTTGTAATTGGGGATAAAAAAACTCCTCCAACATGTGGGTGTAAGTGTTTCCGTTAACTGTTGCTTCATGAAAAAAAAAAGGCCGTAAATTTTAGTTTTGGACACACCACACCAGATCCAACAATGTTTCTGACATGAAAAATCTTTGTTCGATTGAATGATGCTCTATTTTTTTGGAAAGATTGTATTTTATATGCTTTAAATTTAATAATTTTTAGGAGCCTGTGCACCTTACTTTTTGAAAATTGTGTAATTTGGGATATTTTTCTTACAGATATTCTATTATTGTTAAGTGCTAGAATTTCCCTTACTTCTATAATATCATTCAGCATATTGTCCTGAGCGTTTTTAGGTGTTCTGGTTTTTCTTCCTAGTTTTCCGGATTCTGTAAATTGTTGTACCCAAGTTAATATCGATTTTCGTGTAGGCGGATTTCTCCTTCTGGTCACTGTTATTGATTTTGTCTCAGCATATACGAGGACGCACCGTGCTTTTTCTATCAAAGTATACATTTTCGATTAATAAATTTGACTGTGTTCGTTGTTATTCTTCACATAAATAACTTTTTGACGTTTGTTGAAGTCAGTCATATTTTTTTCAAAGCCATCAGTCCGTAAAAAATTAACAAAAGTAACTTTTTTACGAAAACTTTAGACATTTGAGACTTGGCAACGGTGTTAGAAACAAATTTAAACATTTCTAAGAATTTCATTGAAAGTTGCTCATTAATCCCTTGTCTCATTTTCGAGTTATAACGTTTCCAAGCTGTTGAAATGTGATACTTTACGTTTGGAAGTTCTTGACATGGTTTCATAAAAAATTAAATATGTCCCTAAAAACTTGAGTAAATGCCGATAATGTATACATTTTTCTAAAGGGGAAGAAAAGGACTTTCAGATAGTGTTAAAAAATATAGGGTGTTGTATTTAAAATAAACCGATAATTTCGCTCCAAAAAAGTCATTTTTTTTCGGCGCTTTCCGGAAAAAACATAAATTTGGCAAATATGTCAACAAAAACTTGAAGGAAATATAAGAAGTTTAGCGAAAACTGCATGTCGATATCTTTTTCCGTTCTCGAGTAATAAGCCGTCAAAATGTGTTACTTTATATATTGTTAAAATGAGTTTTCTAAAATTAAAAAAAAAAACGAATTCCTAAAATATCTCATTTTTTAGTTGAAAAATCTTTGTTAGTGGAAACAAAAGCCAAACTAGAAAAATGCAGCAAAAATGATAATCCTGAACTAGTAGCTGTGACTGTTTCTTGCGAAAATTCCGAAAAAGGAAATTTAAACGATAAATCCACGTTTATTAAGCCCACAAATGATAACACTATCAAAAAAATTAAATCAGCTGCTACAAAAATGGGGAGACGGGAAGACACTGAGTTAATATTGACTGCTACTTGTGAAAACCCCGATATTGTAAATGTTTGGGAACATTTTCAATTTGTTGAAGCAACTTGTGACGATTATGTGACTAAAACTAAATCAGTTGTATCAGAAATGGAGAGACAGGAAGACACTGAGTTATTGTCGACTGCTACATATGAAAATCCCGATATTTGCGTGAATTCAGAATATGAAGCAACCCATGATCATACTATGATTGAACCTAAAACAGTTGCAACAGAAAAGGGGTATATTGAACTGAGAGATACTGAGCCAAGAGTAATTGCTACTTATGAAAAACCCGATATTGTAAATTTAAACGAAAGTCCAGAATTTTTTGAAGCTAGTGCCTTACTAAATTTTGATGAAAACCAAGAAATTTTTTCAGAAAATTTACGAAATTATGTAGATAAAGAAGGTATTTATATTTTTCATTTTATTAGAACCTTTAAATATCGATGTCACGGAACCTCTTGCAAATCTTCAAAATGAGTCTTAAGTCTCGACTTCTTCCTCTTTTCGTGGCAGAATATTTCTGTAAACGTTTAGCACTTGTTTCTTCAGTCACTTTTTCGACTTAATCAAAAATAAAAATGTTTTTTTAACACTGTCGCACATGTTTTCAAATGTGACACAAGTAAAAAGAAAACAATTTTCACCAATCACCAAAAACTGATTTCTCTTTGAAATATTCAATTTGTAAAATTTGCAACCGACTATTAAATTTAATGAAAATTCTCGTATTTTGACTTGTGTCAATTTAAACATGTGCGCTATGCGTTTATGATTTTTTTTTTAATTTGATTATACTGTATTTAATAATTTGCAACACAATAAAATAGAAATCATTTTTAGGCGAACCTGAACAGGGGTTTTCTAAAAAATCGGGACATAAACAGCATTCATGTGTGTTCTGTAAAAAAGTACTCTACCAGTTACCAAGACATTGGTTTCAAATTCATTTTAGAGAGCCTGAAATAAGAGAAATTATGTCTCTCAATAGTAAGAATCCAGAGAGAAAAATGAAAATCGATAAATTAAGAAAAAAAGGGGATTATAACTTTAACCAGGAGACAGGTGATAGTGAAAATATTGTTTTAAGACGGGGCATAACAGATAATAAAGATTATAGACCTTGTCCCTCATGTTTGGGATATTTTAGGAAAGACAATTTGCGACATCATCGAAAACGATGCTCGCCAAAAAAAGGTGACAGGGCTCTTCAGGGTAATTCAATTAAATTAACCAATTATATTCATAGTCGGGCATCAAATATGTTAAGAAATGAAGTTGCTTCACATATGTTTAAAGATGAAATCAGCAAACATTTCCTTTTTGATGAAATTATTATAGTTTATGGAAACTTCTTATGTATTAAATATACAGAATCGCATTTGAAAACGCATATACGTGCCCAATTACGGTTGTTAGGAAGGTTCATGCAACAGTGTAAATTAATAGATCCAAAAATAAAATGTTGCAAGGACTTGATGCATCCAGCCTGTATTGATACGATTAGAATGGCAATTGATGCGGTTGCAGAGTTCACTCCTGAATCCGGCGTTTATAAACATCCTACGAATGCTAGGACTTTGAGCACAGAATTTAAAAAAATATTGGAAGTAGTTTTATCAGAAAGCGATAAAAATTTAGATGAACAATTAAGAAAATTAACAAAAGCATTGACCCGTCGATATAACTTAGAATTAGCACCATATTTAAATCGAGTCTGCAAACTTAGTGAAAACAGATACAAACGATTAAAACCAATCAACAACTTACCAGAAAATAAACAAATTGAAGAATACTTGAATTATTTAGCAAATAAATCAAATGATCTTCTTAATAAATTAAAAACTGGCTACAATTTTAATAACTGGAATAAATTATGCGAATGCCTCCTGGTAGCCTTGGCTGTATTCAACAGAAAACGACCGGGTGAAACCCAGCGAATTGAATTAGAAGACTTCTATAAGAAAGAGTGCGTTAGCAAGCAGGATATGATAAACCTGAGTGAAGAAGAAAAAATCCAAGCTGACAAATACATTCGAGTAACTTTTAGAGGAAAACTTGGCAACAACACTGCTTTACTAATAGATAAGCAGAGATTTCTTCCAAGTTTAGAGATAATAATAAAATACAGATTAAGAGCTGGCGTTCATCCGGATAATCCATTTTTATTTGGTCTTCCATCAAAAGATAAACATTTGACTTACTGCACCTATAGATGCCATCGCCAATTTTTAGAAGAAAGTGGTATGCACTCATCGGCTCTAACATTTACCAATTTGAGAAAACATTTCGCTACCCAAGTTGCAAAAGAGGGTACTTCACATCAAGAAGAATTAAGAGTCTCAAATTATATGTCTCATAAATATAGTCTTCACAAAACAGTCTACGATCAAAGTACACCATTAGTAGATATTACGACAGTATCTCAACATCTTGAAAGAAGTGCCAAGAGTGGAACAAAAGTGAAACATACAATTAAAAGAGGAATTGAAGATGAAAGTGCCATACAGTTAAAGAAAAAACAAAAAACGGATATTGATTCATATGAAGAATATAAACTCGAAAATAATGAATCTGATGAATCTGATGGAACTGATTCTGATCCAGATTTGACGATGTCTTATTCAGGTAGATTTTTATTTTACATAATATAACAGGTGCATGTGAAAAAATACATGTATAAAAGAAACACTCTTGAAATAAATTAAACTTGATAATCTTCTACACACCCCACTTTAGGCATACCCCAACTACAAATAGCTCTGAAGCATTTTCACATATTTGTCTGAACAAAGAGATTTTAGCATAATCGAAATTTGAACGCAAAACATTGAAAACAAAAATATACACAACCTTTTTAGATCAGATACCAAAAAAAGCGCGTCAGCGCGACTCTATGAATTTTAATTTTTTTTCTCCCCTTCTATTATATCTGAAAATCATCCTTTTTTTCATAGTATAAATTACTACAAAAATTCTTGTTTTCTAGGGAAATTTAAAAGACGAAAACTATGGTCTACAAAGGAAAAACATGTAACAAGAACTTATTTTCATGGTGAACTAGAAAATGATGGTTACATCAGTCCTAACAAAATTCGTAAGTTAAAGAATGTACATCCCGAGATATTACAGCATAGAAGTATTCCAATGATCAAACAATGGCTGGAAGGAGAAAAACAAAAGAAAAAAAGAAGAGCCGATGGCATTGAAGGTACAATATTTTAGTATAATCCTATTATAGATAACATCAATTATAAATGATTTTCAGCGACCCGTTTAAGGTACACAACTCCAGAGAAGGAGTTACTGGAGAAAAGTTTAGAACATCACTCACTCAATGGAAGTGAACCTTCCATAGAAGAATTGGAGAATTTGATAAAAGAGAATAATACTATCAAAAGAAGAAGTGCCGATTCTCTTTTAAGAAAATTTAGATACATGCAAGCTTCTAAATATCCATAATATGAAGTCTGTTTCGACATATATTTTGTATAAAAACTTTGTAGTTTTGCCAACTTTGGTTGGAGTTGATTTTAAATATAGACTTAGTAATGACAAAGTTCAAAATTGAGAATTTTGATCAAAGAATTTTAATTTCCATTTTATAACAGAGAGGCGTTGTATGCATAATTTCTATTTTGTGAGTGATTTGTTTAAAATAGTTATTTATCCTATTGGGATTAACTTTTAATTGTTCCATACCTTGATACCGACAGAATAATATCCCATCATATATACGAGATTGTCCATAGCTCCTGTAGGATCCATTTTTTGAAAATATTACTAGTTTTATATACAGGGTGTTTCATAATATATGCGCAGGACTTCAGGACGTGATAGCTCGTCCAAAAATATGAAAAAACGTTTCTATTAACTTACCCTCTAAAATGAACCATTTTCGAGAAACAGGGTGTTGAAATTGAAAAAAAATTTCTACGCCACTTTGAACCGCCAAAGTTTTCTACATAAAAGGTACTCTTGGTCATACGCTCTAAAGTCGACCGTTTTCGAGAAAAATCAAATTTTAATATTGAAATACATGGTCAATTTTTGGAAATGAAACAAAATTTTATTTTTCTCGAAAACAGTCTACTTTAGAGCGTATGACCAAGAGTACCTTTTTTGTGTAGAAAACATTGGCGGTTCAAATGGGTGTCTCGAAACCGTACTTTTTCCAGTGGCGTAGAATTTTTTTTTTCAATTTCAACACCCTGTATCACGAAAATGGTGCATTTTAGATGGTAAAATTAATAGAAACGTTTTTCATATTTTTGGACGAGCTATCACGTCTTGAAGTCCTGCGCATATATTATGAAACACCCTGTATATTGCCTTAAAATTTCATTCGTTTTAATCATGCAGGTGGTCCCGAACAAAAGTTACACATCAAATATAAGTTTTTTTTTAATTTTTACATTTTTAAAATTCTCTCAAAATAGTACAGTCCGATACGAGGGTGGAATGCATCTAATTCCATACGAGTATGAATGTTTCTATTCACACGAGTATGGAATTACGAATTCCTACGAGTGCCGGATGCGATTTTTTCTACAGCCACAAAGAAATTAGAAATTTGAATATTTTTTAAAACAATTTTTGCAATTTTGACAGATAAGTAAACAAACCAGACATTTTTTCGCGACATACCTTGAGATTGGTTCCCAGCTTCTTCTTATTTCAGTTTAATGGCCTCCACCCATTAGTTATTTTTCCAGCTTCTTAATTTTTTGAGTAACCTATTTTTGTCATGTAATTAATGTTACCAGTAATTTATGACCCAATAACATGTAAAATATTCTAATAATTATTGTGTTGCCATTCTGCAGTCCGCAACGATATTCAAGACATATCCATCTGATGCAACTGGACGTAACACGATTATATCGAAAAAAATTACCTTAATGTTTACGGCGCCCTCTAATAACTATTAAATGAACTGCTGAGCATGTGTAAAATGTGCCATTCTAATTTTTGAGATTCTATACAGTGGTATGAAAAGTTATTTGACACAGGCTGATCAAGATCCGAACGATTGGTCAATGTTTGTCACCCTGTAGCAATAAATTTTTCCACAGAACTTCAGAAGTTAAAATAGCAACAATGGTTTAGGAAATACAGAATTTTTCGTCCTCACCCCCTCCTAAAAACTGTCATCTGTCATAGTACAACCTATATATTAAATTTGACCTTTCCAGGATTTGTAGTTAATGAGATACACATGCTTTAATTCCTTATTCTACCTCCACTGTCGACGTCTCAACTCTAAATACTGGAAAAACTCATATTTTTTTTAACAAAGGGCCTCTAGTATTTTTTTTAATAAATATATAAAACCAATATAGCAATTTTAAAAAAAAAGCACATCCAGTCATGGCTATCCGTATATATGGTGGGACATTCTACAGGGCGTTTCGTTAGGAAATAGCCAAGCATGTGATTTTTTTATGCTTAGATTTTATTTTTGTTTTGGGTACCTTGTGCTCCAAATTTGAGGAGTACCATTGGGACCGTGGAAACAGTAAGAGATAGAAAACTGGTAAATAGAGACTATATTTCCTAAAAGTCCAACATATTGATGAGAGTTTAGGATATCAGATCTGGTTTCCAATACCTATATTTGCAGAAAACTAAATAAATCATAATTCTTTTTATTGTCTCTGCAGCCTTTATTTTCAAAAATATCAAAAAAGATTTTATACAGCCAGTGTTAATGTATTTTTCAATTTAACATAATTTGTTGCAGGAAGTACTACCATCATTTTTTCATACACAAATTTGATGGTGGTACTTTATACACAAAATGTTGGACTGCAAAATTATAACATATGCTGTGTATTCAAACAAATAACAACTGTCATATTTTTTTAATATCTTTGAATATAAAAGTAGGTAATAAAAAGACTCAACCTTTTCTGTTCTGCAAATACATTGGAGACCAGACCTAATACCTTAAGCTTCAAAACGTCAATTAGTATGGTCTTTTAATGTGGCAGCCACTTTGCCTCCATTTAACCGGTTTTCTATATCTTGCCATTTCCGAGATCTCAATGTATTTCTTGAAATTGTGATTCTGTACATGTACAGGTAGTTTTAGCAGTATTTCAGTGGAGTTTATTTTTGTGTTCAAAAATTTTCAAATATATTCTAGTGTGTTGGTATATATTTTGTTTTATTTACTTTTTTGCAAAATCAAAAAACATAATCTAATATTTATACAACTAAAAATAAATATACTGACCCTCGCTTCTTAGAGTAATATGGTTGCCTCTTCCCATGGAGGAGGGGAGAAATGAAGTCTCGATACTACGTCACAAAAGTACAACAGCCAGTTCAGTCAACGTAACGGCACAAGTTTATGAAGATTGTGTCTTTTATATTTTGTAATTTATTGGAGGTATATTTTTAATAAGGTAAACATGGGTCTATGTTATTGCCTCAAACATAATTTTTACACAATTTAAGAATGCCGGATAGATATTGCACTGTGGCCATTTGTGGTAGTAATTATACAAAGAAGTCTAGAGTCTAGAGGATTAATGACAATTAAATATCTAAGCATTTGTTTGAAAAGCCAGCTATCTAACATCTATAAAAGAAAACGATAAGTTGATATAGAAGATGAATCTCGAAAAACTGTTAAAAAGATGAAACAAAATTCAAGTTAGAATAATCAATAAATCTATTATAATCTTCTAGGGAGGAAAAGTACGACTTTGCTCCCTACAATGAGGCCAGGAAATGTACACTTTGGATAGAGGTAGGAGGAAAAATAATTTGCTCTACGAGTACGTGTTGAATGGCCAACGATTCAAATTGTGTACTCTTGTGACGTAATCGCAGGCTTGATTCTTATTGGTTACTTGTAGTAGGCAACCGTATGTCTAGAACCGTGATACTGACCGACACAAAAAGCAAATCACTTATATAATTTTTAAAACACATACCTGATTTTATTAGGTCGTCTGAATATTTTCCTTTATAAATAATATTGACACATTTGCTTTGTTTTATTACAAAGATAATGAGTTTTGATAACGTAGCAGATCCAAACCAAAACACAAAATATAATTTTATTGAAAATGTTTCGGGGAATCTCTTTTTGTGTAGGTCAGTGTATTTAATAAATGCTTAAAAACGACAATTAAACAAAAAGAGAAAATTAACAAAGTAAGTAAATAGAAAAGGAATTTAATCTCTTTATGAGAGCAATTTCATTTATTTTAGAGCCCTTTCAGACTAGGATACTGTATCTGAGATACGCGTATCAGAGATACAGAAAATACATGCGTTTAGTATCGCGATGCGGTATGCCGTGCCCGTTATGAATGCAGTGTGAATACCTACATTTAAACGCATGTTTCTGTATCTCGGATACGCGTATCTCAGATACAGTATCCTAGTATGAAAGGTCTCTTAAGGACTGTGTAAAATCCTGCCATATTTTTTTATAACTACTATGAACTATGAATTTATTTTATGTTGGTTGTTTCATTCATTCCAATTTGCAATTTATTACCTACAGCTTTTTAAGTTATAACTGAATTTTACAAATTAACTATTAAGTACTACTCAAATATCTATTCATAATCAAAAATTTGGGGATAAAAATAACAAGCTTTTAACTACCACTCATTCTTTATTCTTCTACACGTAAATCATAAATCTAGTCTAACAATAACAAATTCTCTGTCAACGGTACAAGGTCAAATCTCGTATTAAATATTGCACCCTGTATATAATTTTTTTAAATGCAATAAGTGATTTTTAAACTACATAAAAAGCTAATGAAAACGACATATGCGACAATGTTTTCGAACTTTTATTGAATTCTTAGTGAACAATCAAATCCTACCAAAAATAGAACAACCATAGAGTGAGTGAGACATCTGAATAATGTTTATGGAAACAGGTGGATAGGACGTGCAGGTCCTATTTCATGGCCTTCTAGATCACCTGATTTCAATCCCGTTGATTACAATATTTGGGGACGATTGAAGCAACTAGTTTACACAGAGAATAATAATAACAACTGACAACAATTTAATTGATAGAATTATACTTTTTTGTAATACTATTAGAAACGATCCCCATAGTATCTGTAATTCAATACGGCAATTAACAATTCGGCAACAGAAGTATGTAGAGGCCGCAGGGTTCTATTTCGAGAATCTACCTTAAATTATTTTTATTTTGTTGCCATTATTGTATTTTTTTCAGTTCTTATTTAAGCGTTTATTTTGACTACATAATTTTAGTTATTATTTTAAAATTGTTGTTCGTTATTGTTGTTCGTTATTGTTATTAGTTACTGTTTTTTTTTGTTTAGTGTGTGTCGCTATTGCAACTCGATACAGTTTATCGTTTTAGTTAAAATACTTGAAATTTATAACATTTGTTTAAATTAATACCTTATTATGTGATACGTCATTATGGTTGATCGTTTACTAAAAATTGAATAAAAGTGTGACCACATTCTCGGATATGTCGTTTTTATTGGCTATTTATGTAAAAAATATATATATTTATGCAGGGTGCAATATTCAATACGAATCACTAAATTAATTTTTCCAAAGCCGGTCCTGGAATTTTTAAGTTTAGTTAATACCAGTCGAATGCTTGATAGTAGTGTAAGTATTATGAAAAAATTAGAAAAATCAAATGAGTCAATTAATATTTATGGTAAATTTCACAAATCACCCTGTATATTAATAATGAAGAGGAGTTCACACTTTTTAGTAGCCACATGATATCTTCCCTGACGAAATCTACATATATGGTAGAAGCATGTAACGTTGCTCATGACTCACCCTGTATAATTAATGTATCACATGATCATAAATGACCCAATCAAAACGCGTAAGGCCCTTAGTTACAAGTTATCACAGCTGTGATAAAAAAAAAAAACAAAAATAATTGGCCGCATTCAGGGAACTGCAGCGATTTATAGTTTTTTTATCTCATTCATTATATTGTCTCATCGAACATAACACGTGGCGTGATTAATTATCGAAGATATTAAATTTGAGAATTTGAAGCTGGACATTTCACTCTCATGGAATCTCCAACTTCAATTTCACTCATAATATCATCGATAATAATCATACCACTATAATAGTTATATTATAATCGAAAGTAAATCCTCTATTTTATTGGACAAAGTAATGAAAAAATGATAGTTACCTAATTTAAATGAGAGTTACATATATTAGAAACAATATGCTGAAGCTATTGCTCAATAGATGGCGCAATAATTTAAATTATAATTTTAGCTGTCCCTTCTTCAAAACATCGAGATAGCAAACAACCTTAAGCTTCTGGGGTTACAATTCACTCGTAAGTGGGTGAATAGGGGAGAGTATTATTATTATTATTATTATTATTAAATTAATGATAAATACAGAGCCATCTATTTGCAAATAGAGAAAGTACCCGTACAATTTAAGAATCGACAATCGTTCGACGGATCGAAAAAATTATCACAGGCGTGACTTGGACACCACAGAGCGTGTTGCCCTCGGTGCTGCCCCCTGTTGGTGTTGTCCATTGTATCCAAGATAATTTGCATTGGATTGTTATTTATTTATTTATTTGTTTACTATACTATATTATCTAAATACAATGGTATTACATAATATAATGCATTATTATACTCTTGAAGAAAAGAAATTTTTTGTTTGATGAGTATTTTTGGAAAACCTGATTATAAGTATTTTTTGGTCTCACTCAAAGTCTTTCAGTACTGAACTAAATTTAGTGCTGACCCTGGAGATATATTGTTTTGATTTTTTGTACTTTCGTTAAAGTTATGATTCGCGCCTGCTTTTTTAGATCGGCGTCTGTCGCGGTAAAAACCACTACCATCGTAGTGGTTGATGTTTCTAAGCACATCACATGCGTAACACACATTGATCATAGACAGTACTTAAGGAGGTTTTACACTAAACGCACCAGGTATTTGTGTTCCTTTGATTTCGTCCGCATTATTTCGTATTCGTTCACGTCCGTTGGTATTCGTTCGTATTTGTGTGCGTAAACAATGCACTTGATTTATACCACGCTCTTCCTCAGTTTGAGTATTGACCTCACACGTCTTATTTATTTAAAGAAACTTAGTTACATTGAAAGAATTTAGTTACTTATAAAGCGTGCTACACATGATGAAGATATTATAAAATATATATTATCTTAGAGCATATTTCAGAATATCGCTCACCATAGAAATCCGAACCATATTACGAAGTTAATTTATATCTTATCTTCAGTATCTTAACATACCGAGCGATACTAGAAATATGACCCACACTGGTATAATCAAAACTATACTTTCTCGAACAAAAAATATGCTCGATAATTTGATATTATAAATTGATCGTTTTACCTTATTAATTTGTGCTTAATTGGATTAGATATTTACTAATAAATTACTAACAATCGAATATATAATTAAAAATCTGATGTGTCCAACACATGACTTTCCTATCTAGTTATTATAGGCATTTTCCGGTTATTTTGTACAACCTATTGCAGCATCTCTATAAATGTTTAGAGGATAAACTAAATATATACATTTTCACATACATCTACCTCGAAACATTTTTCTATAGATATTCATTGAAAACGAAAATACAGAAAAATTTAAATTTAGCACTTTTCCATTACGGTCCATTTTAGAAAAATCATATATAAACAAAAATTATAAAAATCGATATCGCAAACAACTTTTAGTTCAACAATTTTCATAAAAATCAGAATTTTGCACATTTTGTCAAATTTCTCGAATACGGACCATTTCAGGAAATTTTGACATAGAACAAAAATTATAGATAATAATATTAGAAGTAACTTTTATTTAAACAATTTTCTTCTCCAAACATAAATAACAGATATATTCCATAAAATATAAAAACGGCCTTTTATAAAGTACCCCCCCAGATGTTCCGACTTTGTCCAAAATCTAATCATTTCACGTTAGGCCGAAATAAACCTTAAGTTTAAAATTTAATGTTTTTTCCTTTATCCGTTTTTGAGTTTTCTTCAAATTTCGAAATTTACACATTTTCTCAAATATCTCGAATACGGTCCATTTTAGAGAAATTATGTATAGGACAAAAATTATAGAGAATTATATTACAAACAACTTTTATTTGAACAATTTTTATAAAAAATTATTTTTTTTACATTTTGTCAAATTTCTCGAATACGGACCATTTTAGGAAAATTTTGTATAGAACAAAAATTATAGATAATTATATTAGAAGTAACTTTTATTTAAAGAATTTTCTTCTCCAAACGTAAATAACAGATATATTCCATAAAATATAAAAATGACCACCTATAAAGTACCCCCCCAGATGTTCCGACTCTGTCCAAAATCTAATCAGCTCATTGGACGCTGAAACAAAGCTTAAGTTTAAAATTTGGTGTTTTTCTGTGTATCGGTTCATGAGTTATGCGTTATACAGACACACACACACACACACACACAGACACACACACACACACACACACAGACATCATCGCGAAAATAGTCAAAACGGATTCAGGGGACCTCAAAACGTAAAAATCCGTCGAAAACTCGAAGTCGAAAAAAATCATGATTCCTATACTTTCCTTATATCTGTATACAGATAGGAAAGTAAAAAACAATGTCAAATTAATGATATTTAAAATATTCCGTACATCAACGATATATTGTTGAAATCATAAATATGGAAATAGATAATTCAAAAAATTTTAAAATATTATTAAAGAGGAACAACCTTCTGTGTATGTTTTACAAAATAAAACAAAACACATTGAATTTGTGTAAATTAGAACAAACATAGGGAAGAAAATAAAGGAGTAATTGAAATTTAGGCTTTTAGTTCAATTGTGTAATTTAAATAACATAAAATAAACGAAGAAGTAGATGTATTTAGAATAGGTGCAATAATTAAATAACAATAAAAAAAATATCTTCATTCGCGCGAAAATATTAAATTAAATGGTGCTTTTAAAGATGTAAATTTAATATTTTAGGATATCATTAAAGAAATTCTTTTTACGATAAGAAGGTAAAAAATCTGATGTGTCCAACACATGACTTTCCTATCTAGTTATTATAGGCATTTTCCGATTATTTTGTACAACCTATTGCAGCATCTCTATAAATGTTTAGAGGATAAACTAAATATATACATTTTACACATACATCTACCTCGAAACATTTTTCTATAGATATTCATTGAAAACGAAAATACAGAAAAATTTAAATTTAGCACTTTTCCATTACGGTCCATTTTAGAAAAATCATGTATAAACAAAAATTATAGAAATCGATATCGCAAACAACTTTTAGTTCAACAATTTTCATAAAAATCAGAATTTTGCACATTTTGTCAAATTTCTCGAATACGGACCATTTCAGGAAATTTTGACATAAAGCAAAAATTATAGATAATAATATTAGAAGTAACTTTTATTTGAACAATTTTCTTCTCCAAACATAAATAACAGATATATTCCATAAAATATAAAAACGGCCTCCCATAAAGTACCCCCCCAGATGTTCCAACTTTGTCCAAAATCTAATCATTTCACGTCAGGCCGAAATAAACCTTAAGTTTAAAATTTAATGTTTTTTCCTTTATCCGTTTTTGAGTTTTCTTCAAATTTCGAAATTTACACATTTTCTCAAATATTTCGAATACAGTCCATTTTAGAGAAATTATGTATAGGACAAAAATTATAGAGAATTATATTGCAAACAACTTTTATTTGAACAATTTTTATAAAAAATTATGTTTTTTACATTTTGTCAAATTTCTCGAATACGGACCATTTTAGGAAAATTTTGCATTAAACAAAAATTATAGATAATTATATTAGAAGTAGCTTTTATTTAAAGAATTTTCTTCTCCAAACGTAAATAACAGATATATTTCATAAAATATAAAAATGACCACCCATAAAGTACCCCCCCAGATGTTCCGACACTGCCCAAAATCTAATCAGCTCATTGGACGCTGAAACAAAGCTTAAGTTTAAAATTTGGTGTTTTTCTGTGTATCGGTTCATGAGTTATGCGTTATACAGACACACACACACACACACACACACACACACACACACACACACACACACACAGACACACACACACACACACACACACACACACACACACAGACACACACACACACACACACACACACAGACATCATCGCGAAAATAGTCCAAACGGATTCAGGGGACCTCAAAACGTAAAAATCCGTCGAAAACTCGAGGTCGAAAAAAATCATGATTCCTATACTTTCCTTATATCTGTATACAGATAGGAAAGTAAAAAAATCTGATGTGTCCAACACATGACTTTCCTATCTAGTTATTATAGGCATTTTCCGGTTATTTTGTACAACCTATTGCAGCATCTCTATAAATGTTTAGAGGATAAACTAAATATATACATTTTCACATACATCTACCTCGAAACATTTTTCTATAGATATTCATTGAAAACGAAAATACAGAAAAATTTAAATTTAGCACTTTTCCATTACGGTCCATTTTAGAAAAATCATATATAAACAAAAATTATAAAAATCGATATCGCAAACAACTTTTAGTTCAACAATTTTCATAAAAATCAGAATTTTGCACATTTTGTCAAATTTCTCGAATACGGACCATTTCAGGAAATTTTGACATAGAACAAAAATTATAGATAATAATATTAGAAGTAACTTTTATTTAAACAATTTTCTTCTCCAAACATAAATAACAGATATATTCCATAAAATATAAAAACGGCCTTTTATAAAGTACCCCCCCAGATGTTCCGACTTTGTCCAAAATCTAATCATTTCACGTTAGGCCGAAATAAACCTTAAGTTTAAAATTTAATGTTTTTTCCTTTATCCGTTTTTGAGTTTTCTTCAAATTTCGAAATTTACACATTTTCTCAAATATCTCGAATACGGTCCATTTTAGAGAAATTATGTATAGGACAAAAATTATAGAGAATTATATTACAAACAACTTTTATTTGAACAATTTTTATAAAAAATTATTTTTTTTACATTTTCTCAAATTTCTCGAATACGGACCATTTTAGGAAAATTTTGTATAGAACAAAAATTATAGATAATTATATTAGAAGTAACTTTTATTTAAAGAATTTTCTTCTCCAAACGTAAATAACAGATATATTCCATAAAATATAAAAATGACCACCTATAAAGTACCCCCCCAGATGTTCCGACTCTGTCCAAAATCTAATCAGCTCATTGGACGCTGAAACAAAGCTTAAGTTTAAAATTTGGTGTTTTTCTGTGTATCGGTTCATGAGTTATGCGTTATACAGACACACACACACACACACACACACACACACACACACACACAGACACACACACACACACACACACACACACACACACACACAC